TCCCTCTCCCACTCCCCCTGCTTGTGTTCCCTCTCTCGCTGTGTCTCTCTCTGTCAAATAAATAAATAAAATCTTTAAAAAAAAAAAGATTTTATTTATTTGAGAGAGAGCGAGTGAGAGAGAGAGCACGAGCTTGGGTGCGGGCAGAGGGAGAAGCAGACTCCCCGCTGAGCAGGGAACCCGATATGGGACCGATCTCAGGACCCTGGGATCATGACCGGAGCTGAAGGCAGACGCTCAACCGACTGAGCCACCCATGAGCCCCTATTATATTTATTCTTAATGAACATTCTCGCATTTTCCTGTGTTTTAATTTCTGATTTTAATTTACTGGATGATAGGAACTGCCCCAAGTGGGGCCCACACGGAGCCCTGGACCTTTGTGGTTGTGAAGGACGTGAACGTGAAGCACAAGATTCGGGAGATCATTGAGGAGGAGGAGGAAGTAAACTACTTGAAAAGGATGGGGCACCAATGGGTTACAGACCTGAAGAAGCTGAGGTACAAAAGTTGATGGAGTTATTAACCTCTCTGTGCTTGGTTTTCTCATCTGTAAAATGGGAATGTCTAGGATTTACTTCATTATGAAAATTAAATATGTAAGCACATTTGCCAACATGTAGAACAATGATGACACCTAGTAAGTGCCATATGCATCTTTGGTAAGTAAATGGGATTTGACCCAAGTAATAATAAATAAAACATTGAGGACTTACTTCACTTTTCTCCCATCTGGAATGTAAGACTGTGAGATATTTCTCAGGACTTTGACTGAAGTAAATTACATTTGCTAAAGTGATACCATCTTCCAAGTGATCTTACTAAGCAGGCTTTAGTTTTAGGACATGCTTAGTAAGAGTAGATACAAGTGTAATATCTATTAGGCATTAGTCACTGTGCGGGCTTCCTTATCTCCCGGAAGGAAGTGTGGTGAAACTCATTGTAACTAGATTTAATGCAGTGCCTCTGCGCATTAGGGTACGTCCGGCAAGTTGTCAGTTCCTCTAGTAGCTGCAACTAACAGTGACTTGTGGAGTCCTCTTTCCCCACTGAGGGCCGGTCATCCTTCATAATATCTCAGATGCATTCCATAACTTCTCAGTCACTTTTGTCATTAAAACAGTGACTTTCAATTGTTTAGACTCAGCCTTGTCACTTACCGAGTCCTCAAAACACTGCCGTCCCCACAAAGGCCATTTCCTTTCCCCTCCGGGGTGCCCTGAGGCTGAGCGTGAGGAGGGACAGTGGGCAGAGACGTTCGTTCTTACTTCAGAGAAGGGAAGCTTGCTCTCGTCATTGGCACTTGGAATACAGAGGTATTCACACCTCTGGTTCTCAACTGTGGGCCTTCCGTGGCCAGTCCCGGGGTGTTATCCAAAACCCCAGTGTGACCCAAGCTTGTAAGAAAGAAAGGGCAATGAGATTGCAGCCTTGGGGAGAAGGGGGGGACCTCTTATCCAGTAGTCAGGGTTGGGTGATGGGAAGAGGGCCTCTTGGCTCTGCTCCTGTTTCATTTATTTGGCCCCAGAGGACATATTTTGCCTAAGATATTTAAACCCTATTAAATTGATGCCTTATGGAGTTGTAACTTATTACCATACTCTGGAACTAGTGCAGGATATTAATAATAAATATAAAAATCTTATTGCAAATTCATGGGGAAAAAATGGGATGGGTAAAAGTTAAGTTGAGTTCCTACCCTTAGATGTCCTGCTCTTTGCATGCACAGTGCCCACAAGATGCTGCAGGGCCCTGGCACTCTCCCCAACGAAGGCAGAATTAGTCACTCTCTCATCTCTGTGCTCTAAGCACCTAATATACAACTTCTGTGCATCTAAAATGGCCATTTTATCACATAGCATTTTAATTATTGGTTTACTTTTCTTCTCATGTTATAGGCCATATTTTAGAAAGCTTATAGACTTTCTCTGAAGGCAATATGTACACACACACATATATATAAAAACTCTAGGGGTCCAGATTTAAAATGTCACATTATATCATTTGGCATAGTGCTGATGCATAGTAGGTAATTGAATAAATGTTTGTTGAATTGAATTGCAAATGAGCATATGTCCTGACATCCTGTTGGAGTCCACTTTGAAACCCATAGCTGTCATTAAAGACTCAATATACAACCTGGGTCCAACCTACTTTTCAAACCTTATAGTTTTCTGTTTGCGGGTTTCAGCCCTCCACCCCAGGCAGAAGGTGCTACTTGTCCTTCTCTTAATAGGTCTTGTTGCTGTGTTTTTATTAGCTTTAATGTGATGTCATAATAAATTCTTGTAAAATTGAACAAACCAGAAATATTAGATACTAATGTATGTCTAGGCAAAAAAAAAAAAAAAAAAGTACAAAAATCATTGAATATTGCTAATCTGCCTTTGAACCAAGGTAAACTGCTTAATCTTCATCTCGCATTAAAATATTTTTTTAATTATTCATTGTAAAATCATATTAGTAGTAATAATGCTAACACACACATAGCAGTGTGCTAGGTTAGGTACTTTTCTAGGTACTTCATCTATTTGACTGATCTCACCCTCACAATAGCTGTATGGGGTGAGTGTCTAATAGTGCCCTTTACATATGTAGGAACTGAAACATGGGAAATTCAGGAGGTTGCCCAGTATGGCAAAACTCGTTGGCTCCAGAATTTATCCTCCTTGTAAACAATAAACATTCTCCCCGTTTGTAAGGAGAAAAGGATTGATAATAGCCCAATGTGACTGATTGAAGCATGGTTCTACACTTGATCTCAGCCAAAAGGCAGAGAAGCTGTAAGCCGATTGAAGCATGGTAAGGTAGCTTTGGAAATGTAACCTGTAGAAGTTAAGAGTGCAAGAGGAACCATAGAAAACTGCACAAGTGAGTTTAGATTGTTTTAAAACAGTAAAGAATAACTAGGCTTAAAATGAAATCATCTCTGGTTAATTAATGACCTAATGTATCTGTATCCTAAAAAAAATTCTAATATACAGCATTGCATGAATACTACTTTGAGCATCTGTGCTGGAATAAAACTTTTGCCAAATGTATGGGATAGGATAATGGAATAGAGAAAGATATGCTCCACAGCTGGAAAGCAAAAGTTGAAAGTTAATATTTATACCTCACATGAATTATCTCCCACTCCCACAAAGATCTCTTCCTTTTCTCCACAACTGGGCTGATAGCATTACTACCTCTGTCCGTGTGATTTTGGTTAAACCTCACCATCACCCTTTTCCTTTGCTCCTGTACCGGACCTATCAGTTCCAGCCTCTACACCTCCCCAGATTCTCCTGGTCCCTTGCCCACATCAATCTGCCTCTTTCAGAAATGGACCTCATCACATGATGCTTCTGCTCAGAAGCTTGTGGTCACGTTCCATTACCTACCCAATGAAGTATGGGGCAGCCCACCCATGCTTTACCATGCACCCCATCCTCCAGGCTACCAGGCTTCTGAAAACTCCCTGGCCTGTTAAGCATCCTCTGTCCTGAATCTGCCTTTACTCATCAACTCACTAGGATGCCCTCTCCAGTGCCCCCTTTCCATTCGGTCCTCAGTGCCCCACCTCAAGGGAAAGTTTGGAAAAGTTCTTCTAATCTGCTTATTCAAAATTATCAACACTTCATTTGGAGGACTCCTAATGCACTTGACTTACATTTCTTTAATTCCACATGCCATGTTTTTGTTTGCCAAATTTTACATATTGCCCTCTGGGTTATAGGATCCATCTTTGTATCTTTCAGCATTTCATGTGCCTTGCCATACTATACCCGTATGAACACAGGTTTCTTGGATTAAATGACCCTGGACAGAAAAATATGATAGGACACGAACAAAACTTCTGCTCTTTTTCAATTGAAATATAAAATACAAGAAAATTCTTTAATTTAAAGATTTATTTATTTATTTTAGGGGGGGAGGGGCAGAGGGAGAGGGAGAGAAATCCTCAACCAGACTCACCCCCCACCCCCCGAGCACAAAGACCATCGTGGGGCTTGATCCCAGGACCCCGAGATCATGACCTGAGCCGAAACCAAGAGTTGACGCTCAACTGACTGAGCCACCCAGGCGCCCCAAGAAAATGCTTTTGTTTCAGACATAAGTAAGCTAATGTTGTAAAAAAGGAAAAAAAAAATCGTTAAGAGCAATCAGTCTCTGGATTACCTTTTTTTCCCTTCAGAACCAGTTGGATTAAGGAGTACTTGGACACAGCTCCCGTTCTGATTCTGATTTTCAAACAAGTACATGGTTTTGCTGCAAATGGCAAAAGAAAGGTCCACTACTACGATGAGATCAGTGTTTCCATTGCTTGTGGCATCCTCCTGGCCGCTCTGCAGGTATGTTACCCTCCCACCCTGCCCCGAAGAGAGAAGCAATACCCGAGGGCCAAACAGTGGCCTTATTCACACATTGCAGACATCTGGAAGTTGTTTATCTAAAGTTGAATTCCTAAGTAAGGCAGCTCTGATGTAAAAAGTCACCCTGGAAACCTGGATAGGTGAGTCTCATGGTGCAACAAGCTGGAATTCTTCCAGAAATTCACTTGCAACCTCACTCAGGCTCAGAAAAACGGTCACTGGAATCGCCTTCATCCGTAATGACAGGAAGCTTCCAGAGTTTCGGCGGACACACTGCCTAGCTGTGCTCACTGTTGTCTGAGGCAATGGAATTACAAAGCCCTAAAGAGGACTCGATCATAGAGCTCTTCCTGGAAAGTCGAATTGCCATCGTATTGCATGAGAAAGGTGTCTATGTGCTGTAAAAAATCCCATCTATGTAGTAGCTGGAGCAACGTTAAGCAGGAAACAGAGCAGGATGGAGGTACACTTTTTACATGATTCAGTTCATTCACTCAGCCTATAGTTTCTGAGCTCCTTCTATGTGACAGGCCCCGGGGCGAGTGCCAGGGATAGCTGCCTTGTGAACTGTGTGTGCATTCTGCTGGGAACTGGGGTCCATTGGTGGAGAGACAGGAAACACATAAAGCAAATGAAGCAAACAAGATTATAAGAGCGAGTGATCATACTTTCAAGGGACAGTCGATTCTAAGAGCCTACATGCTTCTTCAAGAAAAAACGTGTATGCCAAAAACACCTTGCAGAATACAGTCATTGTTACACACAAGAGAACATTGCTTTTAGATTACTTGAAAAGTTGGCCTCGAGGAGGTGACGTCTTATTTCCTTCCTGATTCTGTGAGCAGTTAAATAGAGGAAGTGATGTGCAAGGTCGGACCATATGGCCCCATCGTTCATTCATCTTAGGGTGCTGGAAGAAGTGCAGAGTTCACAGAGGTTTTCCCAAGCTCTGAGTCGGCAGCCCCGTCACGTTAGTGTTGAGTTTGCTGCCCTCTAGCGTCGCCTCAGGCCTAATTCTGAGTGTAGGTCCTATTTGTGAGGGAGGAAAGCGGAATCTTCCTGAAACCCCCACCTGCACAGATCCCATAATGACCACCGGGCCAAAGAGCCTCTCCTGTACGACTCTCAAAGTCAGTTCCAGAACTTCTGCCTGGCTCAGGCTTAGCAGCGACCCTCCGGTTGGGAAAGTAGGGAGATGGAGATAGTCGGCTTGGGAGGCATCTTGAAGCTGCACATGATTTTTACTAGGTGTTTATTATCTGGAGGGGCTTGGGGAGAAGTTGATGGAGTAATTCCTCTACTTCCAATGGATCCCCAGGCCCCTGGGTCTTCTGTGATTGGACATAGGTATTTTCAGCTGGGGATGATACTCTGCCTTCATTGTTGACTTTATAAGCGTAGGAACTCCCTGGTTGTGGGGCCACTCCTTTGGTGTATTTGGATTCCCTACATTTCCTTCCATGAAATAACCATTCCCATTTCTTTTTTTTTTTTTTAAGATTTTATTTATTTGAGACAGAGAGAATGAGAGAGACAGAGAGCACACGAGAGGGGAGAGGGTCAGAGGGAGAAGCAGGCTCCCTGCCGAGCAGGGAGCCCGATATGGGACTCGATCCCGGGACTCCGGGACCATGAGCTGAGCCGAAGGCAGTCGCTTAACCAACTGAGCCACCCAGGCGCCCAACCATTCCCATTTCTTAACCATTGGTGAAAAATAAGACTAGTATTTTTCTTCTTCAAGAAGCCTCTCACCGTTTGGTCAAAAGAATGTGGGGACTGGGAGATTGAGGAGAGCGGGTAAGGTTCAAGATCCAATTGCCCGGGGTGCCCAGCTTCAGGGAAAGGGCAGGACAAGCAGGCCTCATAGGGACCAAAATGTCCCCAGGCTACAGGAAAAGCCGTGACTTCTTCGCCCACTGACTTGCCAACGTATTCTCTCCCCTCCTGTTGCAGAATGCGGGCCTGGTGACTGTCACTACCAGTCCTCTCAACTGTGGCCCCCGACTGAGGGCGCTCCTGGGTCGCCCCACAAATGAAAAGCTGCTGCTGCTGCTCCCGGTGGGGTACCCCAGCAAAGAGGCCACAGTGCCCAACCTCACACGGAAACCTCTGGATCAGATCATGGTGACCGTGTAGGCAGGAGCCCATCAGGAATGCTGACAGACGATGGCGTGGTCCACTCTGGTCCCTCTTGGGTGTGCAGGTTGCTTTTTCCATGGGTGTTAGGTCTCCCCAGCGCTCCACTCCACTCAAGAAACTTTCTACGTCACCAGGCCCTTGGAGTCTGAGAAGCCCTGCTCCCCATAGTGTGATTGGGTGAACGTAAACCATAAGAGGGCACTGGGTACTTCCATGTCTCATCCACTCTGCAAATGCATTAACCTTTTACAGAGAACAGGCCCTGGTTTTTAAGTTTTTAAAATTGTTCCAGAAAAGTCACTGGTGATTTTTTTCTCTTACATTTTAAAAGCTGGTAGATAGGAAAGAGTCATCAGAATGTTTAATGTAGCCCGAGAACTCGGCTATGTGACCATTCTTGAATTTAAATTTAGACTAATCACATAGCCTCTGCCTTCTGATTTCTGGTGGCTTTTAGACCAGGATGTGCTTTTGAGATTTACTCTTTTACTGAACTTCATGGATATCCTGCCCTTTTTTAATAAGTAACTGTCAAAATACTTCAAACATCACCATCACAGAACAGAGGAGTGCATGCTTGAGCAGGTGACTCTGACCCGTAACCGTCTGAGCGTGTGAAGGGTTAGTTGCATCATCCAGTGGTGTGTTGGAGTTGGCTCGCACCAGCTTGTGGAAGCAGATTGTTAAATATTCAGGAATTTTGTGAGCCTGTTGTTAAACTATTTGTGGTTGGAAATCGCCCATGGTGGGAGTATTTACACCCCTGCAGTCGATGGATACTACAAATCAGGGCTTGTTTTCTTTTTCCTAAAGAGAACAGTTTTCCATACACAGCACTCACGGTGTCTCCCTTCTTTTCTACTCCAGCCCACAGAAGACTTATCCCTTTTCTCCAGGTGGCAAGTCAAGTGGTTTGGGACTTACGGGGTAGGAGGTGTTAGGTTGGGAATGCCAGACCTCATCTTCCGCCCATCATTCTGCCTTCCCTTCCCGGGGTGCTGCACACACTCATAGCTCAGATCAGTTCTCATCCAGCATCCCCACTGGCCTCTGTAGCCCTTCTGTCACCCTTTTTCTGTATTCTTACTCAGCTTCCTCAAGAAAAATCTCTCCTGCCTCTTTTCATCCCTCTTGTGAGTCACACAACTTAGGAAAAGCCCTTAGTATTTTTGATGAGTCAGAGTTGGTGACGAATCTGTATTAGAGAAAAGGAGGACATTTTTTTCCCTTTAAAATATAAAATATAAAATATAATTAGTTATTACAAGAACCTGTGCCCTCAACCACTTCTGAAGTCCTTTGAAGGATCTAGAAGTTTCCTTTAGAATCTCCAAAATCTCCCATCTATAGTTTCGTTTTTCTCTAAACATGCTTTTAAACTTTTTCTTACATTTTAACATTTTTCTTTACATTTTTCTTACATTTCTTACATTTTGTTTCTATTCTTTTTTTAAAAAATAATTAGTATTGTGACAGGCATTTGTCCTGTACTCTTTATTGTAAATGAGCATTGTTTTAACTACATTGTTAAAGACTTACATGGGCTGGAATGGGAGCCTAACCATTGTATTTCAGATTGCTTTTAGTAGGAAAAAGATATTCTGAGAGTTCCAAGTATCAGAATAATAAACACACTTTGGCGTTACGATGCAATGAAATTGAAGTTATACTGATAAACTTCTGTTTCTTATGTTTTGAAACTAGTTGAGCCCAGAGTTGTGTGCTAGTTTTAGTTCAGTCTGCCGAGGGGGGCTGAGGTTTACAAGGGAATCTTGCCTCCGGGGAGTGGGGTGAAGAGGGAAAATGGCCACAGGTGGGAGTCCGAGTACCATGTTCAAGTATAGAGTCACTTGAGAGGAAAGGGAGAGCCCGGCCACGTGAGTCAGGAGCCCTCCAGCAACAGGTTGCCAAGGCCTGCCCACCTTCCAGATCCCTGCGCCCCGAAACACAGCCCTGTTTCTCATAGATGCTGAACAAATGTGCAAAGACACAGATTCAGGAAGCTTGACAGCCAGCGTTCTCTTTGGGGGATGGAATTACAGTCGACCCTTGAGCAACACGGATTTTTTTTAGATAAGTACAGGACAGTGCTATCAACGTATGTTCTCTTCCTTGCGATTTTCTGAATGACATTTTCTTTTCTCTAGCTCGATTTATTGGAAGAATATGGTGTATAAAACATAGAACGCACAAAATATGTGTTAATCGGGTATTTATGCTATCAGTAAGAGGAACTCAACAGTTGGCTGTTTGAAGGGAAGTTTTGGAGGGATCCGAAGTTATACGAGTTATGTGTGGATTTGGGAGTGCGCGGTGGTGGGGGGTGGTCGGCGTCCCTAACCCCCGTGCTGTTCGAGGGGCAACTGTAACAGTGATTCTTGGTCTCGACGGCACAGCATAGATGACCTGGTTTCTCGCCTGGTACTCACCAGCTGGGTGGTCATGAAAAACGGGGGTCTTCCCAAGCCTCATTTTCTTCATTTGTAAACTGAAGGTGAAAGTTGCACTTACCTTGTGTGTGGTGAGTCCCATGTAGTTCCTAACGTGGTAGCCCTGAGGGCTGGCTGTTATCTCTGGCTCCTGGTATTAGTAGTAGGGGTAGTCTCACAATGATTAATGCTAGGTGCTGTGCATGTTGGGCAAAAAAAGAAATAAAGTGACACCCTTTAAGAATCTCATCTTCAATGGACCAAATGGTCTTAAACTCTAGAAGCAATGTATCTGCTATCTTCGCTTGAGCCTGGGCTGTTTTAAGGATTTATAGGCTGGACTTTAGCTGTATCTGATTGGGTTCTGGAAACCTCGGCAGGGGTCTATTTAATGAGTCACAAAAAGACTATTTTCAGGGCGGAGAGACGGGGACATAAAGTAAGATCCCACGACAACAATCAGTGTCAGAACAAAGAGGCAAATCTCAATGTGGTCTGGAGTCTGCCGCTCAGATACCAAGCACATAAACTCTCAAGAACGTTCCCAGAGAGCAGGAGGTGGTGCAGACTCGTATGGCAGGATCAGCTTCAAGATCATGTCCGTGAAACAAGGGTGGCCAAGGGGTAACGGTTAAGCACAGGAGCTTAGAAATCGCACGGCCTGATCCCTGCCCTACGAGAGAGCTGAAGAAAAAAATTCTTGTTTCTCTAGTGACCTGGAGCTAATTGCTTAATGGAGGCTCCTCTCTGATGTGTAAAATGGCGGTAATCATACTTACGTTGCAGAGTTTGGCACAGTGCCTGCTGCACAGCATTCCTACCCGCTAGGTGTCTTTATCGTGGCGGTGGTGGTCGTTGATACCACTGTCCTCGTCAGGCAGCCCTACTTTGGGATCCAGGTGAGCAAAGTAAGCAGGGGGGGTGAGAGACCGGCCCCTCTTCGGAGGAGAAGGCCCGCCGTGGCTCAGGTGGCAGATGCGGGACCATTTGAAGCCGGCCCAGGGGGTACCAGCCTCACCGAGTCAGAGAGCTCCTCGGCAGGTCTCACCACTGGGAGGTTTTTTTCTCTGTGTGGTTAATGTTACCAACTTGATATGCAGTTAAGTTGTCTGTCTGCATGTATTTTTCACCTTCTTACTTAAAAATTACAAGGGGAAGATGTGCTTGTCACCTTGACCCATTTGTTAGCCGTCTCAGTGATGACACACCATCAAATAGAAGGATAACTGACATGAAGTGCCTCCCGTCGGGATACAACATGAAGGATTCAGTATCACATTTTGGATCAAAATGTCCAAAGGGAAACCAATTAAGCTGGTACATCTACCTCCCAGTTTAGAGTACAGGATACCTCAGACATATTGCGGGTCAGGTTCCAGACCACTGCAAAAAGGTGAATATTGCAATAAGGCAAGTCAAATGAATGTTTTGGCTTCCCAGTGCACATAAAAGTTGTTTCCACTATACTGTAGTCCATTAGGTGTGCAATAGTATTATGTCTAAAAAACAATGTACATACCTTAATCTAAAAATAGTTTCTTGCTAAAACATGCTAACCATCATCTGAGCTTTTAGCGAGTCACAATCACCGGTCACAGATCAGTATGACAAATATAATAATAATGAAAATGTTTGAAATGCTATGAGAATGACCAAAATGTAACACAGAGACATGAAGTGAGCAAATGCTGTTGGAAAAAATGACGCTGATAGACTTTCTTGATGTAGGGTTGCCGCAAACCTTCCATTTGTAAAATATGAAGTATCTGCAAAGCACAAAAGTGAAGTGCAATAAAATGAGGTGTGCCTGTAAATACAGAGGCTAGAGAAACTGGTTAATTGATACGATGAAATAATCAGAAAAACCAAGAACGTGGATCATTCTACAAGAAATAGGCCTAGGCCCTCCCCAAGTCAATGTCATGAAGGAAAAAAACCAGGAAGGTCACTTTTCTATCCTAGCTACTCAGTGTGGCCCCACAGCTCTCACAAAGGCACTGTGCCCATGGATGGGTGCCATATTGTTTTTGTTGAGGGGACGGATACAAGGAGGGATATCTTATTTGGCCACCTTGCTGATGTCACTTCCTCATTATAGTTTTTTTTTTTGTTTAATTTTATTTTATTTTTTTATTTTTTAAAGATTTTACTTATTTGACAGAGAGAGACACAGCGAGAGAGGGACACAAGCAGGGGGAGCGGGAGAGGGAGAAGCAGGCTTCCCGTGGAGCAAGGAGCCCGATGCGGGGCTCGATCCCAGGACCCTGGGATCATGACCTGAGCTGAAGGCAGACGCTTAACGACTGAGCCACCCAGGCGCCCCCCTCATTATACTTTTATTTTAATTTTTCTGTGTGCTTGGAATTTTTCAAAGTGAAAAGATAAAGGAACAAGAACACTTAGAATTAAATCTGAGTGGAAATGCCACATACAAATAAGCGTTTTTTTCAGTCATAGAAACGATTTTCCTAAACATGCCCCCTAAGTCCATTGTTAAGTTTAGACATTCACTGAAGACACCAGAGATTAAGTTTATTTCATTGGATTATCTTGGAGTGTCCCAAGGGAGATGCGTTTAAGGTGGGAAGATGGAAATCATAGGAGAAGTAAGACGAGAGGTTTAACTTGCTTGCAGGGAGCCCGTTGGATAGTAAAGGAAGGGAGAGGAGCTTGGGGGAAAAAAATATAAAAATACATCTCATCCTGTCTGCTCCTGGGATGGGGAGCCTTCCAGGGAAATCTCACTCCCACTGCCCCAACACACCCCACACTAATTTCAGCTGTTGCTTCATAATCTGGGCAGATCAGCACAGCCCCCTGCCAGTGACTGTGCCTGGAAGAGTAAAGGTAATTCTCTTTCTTCTCTCAGCAGCCTCAAGCTTTTTTCTTCTTTCTTCTTTCTTCTACGTGTTCTTTAAACGCAGTCCTGTAACCACTGTGTTCAAAGCAGAAAGAGTGATCTGGAAGGCTTATAGATCCCCTTGTAGTTCTGAGACCCTACAATAGGGGGAATCATTGGATTATTTCATCACTGTGAGAAAGAATAATGAAGAAACTTAGAAACTGACTTGTGTCTCACTGATAGGACTCACTTGGAAACTCCCACTTTGCCGGGAGGAAATTTGTAATGGGGAGCTATGTGAGCCAGGATGGGCCAGAGCAGTGGTCCTCAAATGCCAGCCTGCAGCACCACCCCCTGGAAGGATTGTTCAGGCCCAGATGGCTGGGTCCCACCTCCAGGGTGTCTGATTTAGTAGGGCTGGGTGGTGCCTGAGACTAACAGTTTCCCAGATGCTGCTGCTGCTGCTTGGGTGATACACTTTGAGAACCATGCGGCTGTGGCAATTAACAACTCCAACACGTCAGTGACTAAACATGATAAAATTATATTTCTTGGGCAAGCTAAGTCCCCTGCAGGCCCTGGCAACCCTCCAAGACCATTATTCTCCACAAGGTGACTCAGCTCTCCCGTGGCCACACCCCCCACAGCATGTGGCCTCCTTACTCAGGGAGGTGCTCACCCCAACAGTCATATACCTTGGTCCAGGAGTGACTTCCTCACTCTCACAGTCCATTGGCCAGGACTAGTCACATGGTCTGCCCAGAGGGTGGGGAAGTATCATCCTCCTGTGCCTGGTTGGGGAGGAGACCTAAATGTGGACAGGCATTAGAAGTCTCTTCCCCAAGAACAGGGAACTTTGAACTTAGGGAATAAAAGTGGATGTAACAACAAAGGCGTGGGAATGGAAAGTTGCAAAAATTGGTGAAAGGCATGAAGATTCTCTCCTGAAAGGTTAACGTTGAGATGGTTGACATTCGTCATGTGCAACTTTTAAATATGGGATCAATCTGGGCCAAGAAAATCAATACAAATATGTAGAGAAAGGAACTAAAATTCTCTTTCCTAAATGTTCCTGCCTTTGCCCACAAAATGGAAACTTCTATCTCAGAAGAAAGTCCTTATTTTCACTTCTTACTTGCTCATGCCTCTGAAAGGAAAAGGGACTTCTCTGGTCAGTGAAATTGGGGGGAAAATGGGTGATTGCACGTGTTCAGACCCAACCAAAGTACACTCTTCTTTAAGCCACATGAACAAATTAGGGGGGGATTATTCGCTTTAGGAAGATGATTTACCAATGAATTCCTATCAATATTGCAGTTTTCAAAAGTGTATTTAAACTGATACGACATTTTTAAACATTTTTGTAAATATCTTTCAGGAATAGTTATAACT